AAGATAAGCATCTGAAGAAATTGACTGATAGCCAAGAAACTGCCAACATCTGTTACCGAGTGAATCAGATGCAAATATAATATAAACAGGACAAATGGCTACCAAGCCAAAACAAAAGTAGATGTCAGTTGAAATTAACAATATTTTATTGATAGTAATCAGATAGAATCGTGCATAACCTTGACCACAAACAGAAAATGTGCTAAACAACAACTGTAGTATAGTAGCAATATGATGCGTTGCATGGATTTTGTTATCTGATTGGTATAGGACAGATTCCTAACACAAATGTTGCTTCTAAGTTATATTACATCCCAGTTAACGACAATAACCCACTCAAAATTGTCAGGGATTACCAAAGCTCATGATACTGAGATGCTCTTACCATGACTGTGTCCACAGTCTTCAGCCATTAGTAAGCACCACTTCTAACATGTGAGCATGCACTTAAGATTCCCATCAATAACCCTACTTTATTCATGCCCTCATGGTTCATACACATTACACAAGAACGAGTGTCCATCTGTGCTACACAATTTAGAAAGTATCTTATAAACTCAAATCCACACATTTCACAGTACAGTTGGTAGAACATCCATATTCTAATTAGCAACTTGAGCAATACAAACACTACTGACCCGAATGCTACAACAGTAACTGAATCGTTCTCTTTTATTGCGTACAAAAATGGTGTCTCTTATGTAGTTATGCAACTGGTTTTTTGGGAAACAGAGGAGATATATCTTAAACCATAAAGTTGTCATACCAAATGCATATACCTACTCCTCAAATTGTGGGGCTCATTATGACACCAAACATTCATATCCACCTCTCAGCGACGATTGATTACACATCCCATGAACATATCTTTCAAGCATTCCTCTTCTCATGTTCAGAAAAAAAAAAAAAACATTCCTCTTCTAAATTAATGATCATTAGACACCAAACACTATAGGTTCGAATCTTACAGCCTGATCATTGCGAACAAGACATTACACATCCTACATTTGTGGGACTGGTCATTTAAACCAAATTTTCACACCCATTATATTCATTCACCAAGTATTTGGCAGAAGGATCAGATGCCCAGATTCAAATCACCACTGAGCTTTGCTGACCTTCACCTGCTAATTTATTGTGTATTCTAATTTTCCAAAGTTCTAAATCACAAGAAGTCCCGAATTTATCTTCTAACTTCCTCACTTATCTCAGTTTCTTCATTTCTGTTTGTGTGTCAATAGCAAGAAAATTTCCATTCAGCCATTCATTAAAGTATTACAGGTATCTTTTGCACGCCAATGGACCAATATTTTCAAGAATATGTTTCATCTCTACATCAGTGCGCGTGTGGGTGCCCGTATATTGCCTTGTAAACACACATCATTTAGCAATAGCAATGGCAATGGCACGATACACAGGGAAGTAAAATTCTAAAAAAATAATAATTTAGGCCTCGATGAAAAAGCATAAGGTATTATAAAGGGCAGAAAACTCCAAAATAAAATTCCCATCCACGAAACTCTAGTCAGAACATCCTCACAACCAAAGACAGTTACAAGAGAAAATAAAATTGTACCTTTAGGACTGTTTGCAGGATAATATAAAGGCAACTTTATCGGAAGCTCACATCGAAGTAAACAACCTCTCTCCCAAATATATTTCTCCGGCTGATCTTCATACACAACGGAACCAACACACTCAATTCTGTCCAAATTCCCCGACCTCGACAGAAAAAATCGAACATCACCGTTGCTCTCCTCCACCGCAGCTCCTATTAAACCTCTATTTTCCAAATCTCCTCCATCATTGTCATCATACAGAAATTTCCTCAATTTTTTGGAGACCTCAATTGTCTCGCTAGCAATTTGTTCAGAATTCGAAGACCTCCCAACAATCAAAGCTCCAATTACCTCGAAACCTTTCGGAACCAGTGTCCGCATATCATCTGCCCATAGATATTTCAATTGAATTACAAATACATCTTTTCCACTCACACACACACACTTACCTATGAGTACCTGATTCTTTGGAGAAATCTGGAGAGAGAGGATTGGAGGAGAGAGAGTGGATGCATTTGAAGGTGGAGACAATGGTGAATTGAGGGAGGAATGGTGATCCGATTAGCCATTGGAGTCCTTCTTTTATGATCACCAGCTTGCGACACAGAACTCGTACGCTTGTGCTTTCGTTTTGGTTCTCCATCGATTAGGGTTTCGGATTCAATGTCGCCTCTTCCCAACATAAACTCTGTTTCAGTGTCTCAAGTGGAGAGTCAGAATAACTGTTTGGCTTTCAACGCAAAGCTGTTTGGGCGGTGGGGCGCGCAAATCCTGTTCGACGATAGTAATGTAAACTATTCCGGGTTTGGCTGATTGGTGGATTGGGAATATGGTAACGGGGACACCACATCATCGTAGTGTCACCATCCAATGAAAAAAAAAAAACAAATGGACAAAGTGTAATCCCACTTCTAGACATAGATAGTTATTACATTAGATGAATGAAATTTTTTTTAAAAGTAATGTTACATAAACTTAAAAAATAAATTTAAAAATTATACTTGATAATCTCAACCATTGATTTCACTGTGGGTCCCAACATTTATTAGGATTCACTACCTATTTAATGGTTAAGATTATCAAGTCTAATTTTTAAATTCATCTAACATTTTTTTTTTTTTAATTATGTGGAAATTAATTGCCACTTGCTCTTTTATTATTGATAAATGACTACACCATATCATAGAGATGACATTGTATAATCATGACACTCAATATTTTTAGGTCCACCAATGATTGATAGGTCATTTCCCTCCCCCTCCCCTATCCATTTATTGATCCCTCATTCCATTAATTTGTTGTTATTTATTCATTCACGGTATACATTTCCTTTTCTTTATCTTATTAGCGCAAGTTTTTGTCGATGATAGAAGTCGTTGAACTTAAGATTTAAGTTGAGGTGAGAAAGAGGGCTTTCAAGGACTGCGAAAGACAAGTGAATTATAGAGTTAGAGGCAAATCGAAGAATTGTCCATTGGGATTGGGCATGGACGAGTCTCAACTAAGCTAGCATTGATGAAAATATAAAAAATAAAAATAAAAATTCTTCCATTACATAATTAACTAGTGTAAGATTAAAGATCAAATCCAAGATTTGAGTCAAATCGACATTCCCTCTACTCATAGGGTCAGACAAAGAATTCAATCAAATATTTGTTGCTAAGGGCGTTAATGTTGAAAATAATAATTTAATTACTCTCCTTATTAAGCTAGGTAATACTCAGATGGATTTGCGATTTCTTACTTTCGTATAGATTCTGATATCTTTGTAATGAATACCCAATAGGGAGCATAGGTTCTCTATTCTCACATAATTATCTATTTTATAGATTTTATTAATTTTACTTAATAGCGTTATACATTTACAAGTCCGCAAAATAAAAATAATTGTTTTTTAAAATTTAAACAAAAACCTCTAGTTTCCTAAAAATACTATATAAATTACTTTTTTTTTTCCTTTCATGAAAAATTATTTAATTTTCGTAAAATCTTTAAAATTTGATAATACTATACAAATGCATAAAACTCTTCAAATTTTTCCCAAATTTCATTTAATTATGTAATTACTACCATTTTACCAAATCACTAAATTTCCATGCTAAAACGACTCATACTACACTAAATGATTCCATACACCCATGTAGCGATAAACAACAATTAAGTCCATGTTCAAGGGCGAAATGTAACGGTAAGTTTCTATTACTGAAGATGAAGATTACAAATTATTATTTTTTTAAAAGGTAAGAGAACATGTTTCACTCTATCACTAATATAGTATTAGAGTAATATTGTTTTATTTAATGTCAAAAAAGATAATAACTATATGGAGCTAGGAAAGTTTTAACCAAGCAAGAGATGTGTTCCACTATTGACAAATTTTAGTCATGCCTCTTCTAACTTATCATATATTTAAAGACACCCTCCTATTATAAAAAAAAACACTAACATCTTTTTTAGTTTATATTTAAACATAATTGACACCCTCTACCATTAAATTACCATTTATAACAAAAATAAATTATCTAAAATATCAAAATTACCTCTACATAAACCCCAAGTAATTTTTTTATATAAAATTTAAGTTGATTAAAATTTATTTTCTACATATTAAAATTTGCGATGATTAAATTTTTTTTTCTATTATTAAAATTTGAGTCAATTAAAATTTGATTCGAGCTAATTAAATTTTATTTTTTTGCGTATTAAAATTTGAACATATTAAAAGTCCTTTTTTACATAAAATTCGAGCCGATTTGAGCTCTACTTCAGACTTGAGCTGTTAGCCCCGATTAAAATTCGTTTTGAGCAGATCAAAATTTATATTTTTTATTATTAAAATTTTATTCAAGTTGATTAAAATTTGAGTCAATTAAAATTTATATTTTTTTATGTCTAAAAATTCGGGCTAATTAAAATTTAATGCGAGTTAATTGAAATTTGATTTGAGCCTCAAATAAAATTTTAATGGGCTCAAATTTTAATACGTAAAAAAATAAATTTTCAATCGACTCAAATTTTAATACATAAAAAAAAATTTAATTAACTTGAATCAAATTTTAATCGACTTGAATTTTAATACATAAAAAAATAGAAAATATAAGGAGTCTCATTGAAAATATGTCTATCTAAAAGGGTATAGATGAAAACTTTTTTAAAATATATCATGAGCAATTTAGTAAAATTGTATTTTAATTAACACCTTTAATTTGATAGGGGTGTTAGTGAAGATTCAAAATATAGAGGGAGTGTTCTTAAAAATATGATAAACTAGAAACGAAGTGTATGAAATTTTCCATTCACTAAATTAAAGTTTAGACCATCTTGAACCCAAACACTTGTGGCAACATTTTTCTTTTTCTTTTTGTTACAACAGAATGAATATATAAATAGACTAATCCATCATGTTCCAAAAAAAAGATAAATTATTCAATATATTCGTAAGAGAATATTGTCTTTCAGAGTCATACAATTATCTGTAGGAGATTTCACATCCACCTACATTGAGGTGGAAATTAATGTCTGCCTGTTCACTCTGAGCACTGAATGGTAGGTTTTAGCCCAATGAGTAGTTGTAGCTATACTGACTTGTACATTGAACGAAGATATCCATATTTTTACCCACTTGACCAACCATTCAAAATTGACTTTTTTTTAGTCAAATCAATTCAGATTATTCCAACATTTTATTACTTATTTGTTTGTCACACAATTTTTTTTTTGAATTTCTCTCACGAAAAAGCTTTAATGCTGTCAAATATTCATTTCATTTCTAAATATTTTTACGAATACGCTTTTTTGATATAGAAGTACATTTTTTTGGAACTGTCCTTTAAAAATAAAGAGGTTACTCTTTAATTTTATTATTTTTTTTGGAACTGCCATTTAAAAAGCATACAGTTGAATGTAAATTATATATGTTTTTAAAGAAAACGAATCATATATTTGAAAAGAACTCAAAACAAATATAGATGTATAATATCTATACTAATTATCTTAAAAAATACATAAATATTAACCATAACCTCAATGAGGAAGAAAGGAAAATAAATCCTACCTAAATTCTGGAGAAAATTGCTCTCAATGTGTTTCATGTGATTGCTTACGCGTTGATGTCCTCGAGATTTAGCTCAATCTATTCTTCCTCCTTCTCATTTTGTCTCTAGGACTTTTCTAGAATATTTACAGTTGAAAAACATCTAAAGAACTGTTAAAGCGCATTCCTACTTTTATAATGTCAAAAACAGAGGAATAACTCAAAACTGATTAGAGATGACTTCAAAGGCGCGTTCGGACATGTATTTTAAGGGGATATTATGGTTGTCAAAAATATTTGAGTGAATGACACTTTATACCTTAAAAACTTCTCCAATTTTTAATTTATTTCTAAGTGAAAGATTAAAATCTCATATTGTACCTTCATATAAGTAAAAGTATACCAGTATAGTCTAAAAGTAAATATTATTTGGTCTATATTATTGTAGTGGCAGACCTTGGGTAGTAGCTTTGTTAGGAGAATTTTCGTTGTGTTGTGCCGCAAGCCTTTGGATGTCTTCTTCCTTTGTTGTTTCTTTATTTATTTATTATTTTGGGGGAGGGGGAGGAGAAAGGGAAATTCGAACCCACGACCTCAACAAGACAAAATTTTTAAAAGACAAGTAGTACAATTGAACCAATTTCAAATATGACAAACGGAAACGATTTCGTTCAATGTTTGATTGAAAATTTTGACAGGTGGTCAAATTTTCAACATAGAATTTTCAGATATTGTGACAAATGAGTTTACAGTACTCGGAGATCAAACAACTTATATATAAGCCCAAAAATATGAATTGAGAATTAATCGGAAGAAATACAATAGAACATTGATATATATCGATGGAGCAATTAATTCATCAATTTATGATAAGGTTGCTCATGTTTCGATGACAATGCGGCAAGCGATGTCTTGATCAATCGTTATTTTGGACAAGACAACGTGAAAAAAGTTCGTTCGTAGACCCTGTACAGGCAGTTTGATCTTCTTTAGATGAAAAAATTAAAAAATATATCTGATGAAATAAATTATGTCATTTCATTGTTTATCAATTTTATTTTATGTTGAAATATGAAAAATTTTAAAGTAGTGAATGTTATTTAATTTTAGTGTCGAAAGTGAGACCTCATTAAATAGTTGGACAAAGGCCCGTCTTGTTTCTGTTTTTAGGTGTTTTTAAAAACACTAATTTTATTGTTTGCAAATTTGGGGTCTGTTTTGAAAATAACCAAGATGAAAAGAAATAAAAATAACTACCAAATGTTTGTATTTTTTTTTCGGTCTAATATTAAAAACAAAAACAGTAAAACAAAACGCAGCCTATGTGTGCACAGCTAGTGTGTGTGTGCAGCCTGGGGTATGGTTGCATGTGCGCGTGTATATAGACAGATTAAGACAGAGAGAGAAAGAGAGCATGAGGGAGGGTTGTGGGAAAAGAGGAGACAAGCAAGATGAGAGTGGTTAGTTGTAGGTATAATTTTGATCAATTAAGGAATGAGTCAATTAATTTTGTCAATATAAAGATTAATGCTCCGTTTAGTAGGAATAATGAAAAGTGGGAGGGATATACTTTCTATCATTCAAAGAAGGAAAGTAAGAATGATACACTTTCTTTCATTTGTGTTTGGTCGGCTGAATAAAAAATAAAAATGAC